GTGATCTCCAGCCCTCACCTGGAGATTGGACACATTTTACCTCAGAACAGCAAACTGTTTAGAATGTTAGAGGCAAAAGCCAATCAAGTTGCATATGCAAACAACCTCTGTGTTCCGAGGCAAAGGCCAATGAGGCTGCATATGCAAATAACCTCTGTGTTCTGACTGCCTATGGGGGGGGAGAGGAACAGCAAACTGTTTAGAATGTTGGAGGCGAGACTCAAGCAATGCAGCCAGTGGATAGGGACAGATTCTGAGTGACACACCAGGGCACCAACCAATTCTGGAGCATGTGGAATGTTCTAGAGAAGTGCCACCACCATTCAGCTTTTATATATAAGGGAGATTAGGGGAACACAGGGGCTGACCAGAAGTTATATAGATGAAGAAGAAGAAGAGGAAGAAGAGATTGGATTTATACCCCGCCCTTCACTACCCAAGGGAGTCTCAGAGCGGCTTACAAACTCCTTTCCCTTTCCCTCCCCACAACAGACACCCTGTGAGGTGGGTGGGGCTGAGAGAACTCTGACACAAACTGCTCTTTTTCAAGGACAGCTGTGCCAGAGCTTGTGACTGACCCAAGGTCACATCAGCAGGTGCAAGTGGAGGAGTGGGGAATCAAACCGGGTTCTCCCAGATAAGAGTCCGCACACTTAACCACTACACCAAACTGGGTGTAATACTGACTGAACCCAAACCAAAAAAAGATTCTTCTGGTGGTGGCAGCTACTGAAGTTTTCTCTAGGTTAAAAGTCAAAAGGAATTAAGTTTTAAAATGGATATTACTCCTAGTGGCCTGAACATAGAGAGCACCCCCCCCCGACAATGAGAAAACAGTGGCTGAGGGGCTAGGAGTGAAAGTCTATAACAGTAATCACTTCACTAAATCTAACAATAAAGTGGCTGGCCCAAATGTCAAATCAATGCCAACAAACAAAAGAAACAAAAAAGACAGTAGGGAGCTTGCCATACTCAGGGAACATTTCAGGCTTACACATGACTTCATAAAATAGCAAAAAAAGAAAACACACAAAGACAACCTGACACAAACTGAGTACGCCCCAGGAAGCACAGAATGTTGAGGGCAGTTAAGATTCAGGAAAGGAAAGAAGGAGAGGGAAATTAGCCTGCTTAGTCCACTGAGAGCTGTGGAATCCTGGAGTGGAAATTTCCAAAGGGGTCTCCTTTCACAGCCCCAGGCTTTTTACTATATTCAAATGTTATTGTACTTGTGAGCTACCTCAAGTAGGTCTCCGAACAGATGGTATATCCATTCCCCACACACACAATAAAAGCGATAGACCCTTGTAGCTACCTACAGACAAGGTGAGGGCTTTCCATACTTGTGGAACTCCTGAAAATGCAGAAAACATATGACTTTGTAAATTTTAAAAAACTGTCTGAGCCAGACTGCTATTACAAGAAAGGGGGGGGGAAGGAGGGGGGATAGGGGCTGCCACTGTGAAGTTTTTGGTACTAGGCTCACTCCTTTGATAAGGCCAGTTGTCTACTCAGACGCACAGGTAAAAGTACGGCAAAAGAAGCAGGCAGAACAATTACGTATTCAATCTCCTGTTGTAATAGCTCTATGGAAAGCGCTAGCTTCAACTTGAATATTCCAAAAGAAAATTAATGTTAGTAGGGGAGACAAAATGAAAAGAAAGGGGGGGGGGAACCTTTGAAAGCAAACCACAGAACAAAAGACAAAAGAACATACTCTTAAGTAATAAAAATGGATTCTTTTAAAAAGTAAACTGAGTATTTTTTTAAAGATGTGGTTTCTTTTCATATTTATCACAATGTATTTATTTTTCCAAAGTAATAAGCAAGCTGGAGAACAAGAGCTGTACTTTAAAGAGTGCTATCAAGCATGATTTTAGCGCATTCATAATTTGCTTTTATACCCACGGTTACAGATTATAATGTACTTCACTAGATTAGCACTCTATCCATATCAAAGTTTTGAATTCAGCTGCCAGCTGTGCACAATAATCTAGACCCAGATTCAACACTATTTTTTTTGTTAGGAAAAAAGAAGCTTTAAGTGCCGCACAGATTTATTTGGGTTAACTCTAACATAAAAGGCTGAAGGACAGAAACATTTTTCTCTTCATTTCTGCAGTTTTGTCTAAAATCAGGAGTGTAATCCCAGCATAGCAATTTATTGTACCAGCTCAGAAAATCCTCAGGTCCTATTTTGTAATTTTACTCTACCTTTCGTCTTAGGAGCGGGGCCAGCTCCAGTTTTTTTTTTTGTACAGTAGGCGAGGTTACCTTCTGGTGTGGTCCCGCAGCAGCCGCCAAGGGGCCCCCACGTAGATCCTGGCTGGCTCCTGTGCCCTGAGGGTCACTTCTCCTTCGCTCCCCCCACAGGCCTTCCTCTTGGGGTGCTCCGGGCCTCCCGGAAAACGCTCAGATGTGCAAGCAGCAGCCGGCCAGTTTCCAGTCCCCTCCCCCCCCAGCGCCAATCGCAGCCCTGTTGGAGTCTTGCAGGGTGACACTGTCAGCCTCTTTGGGCAGGGCGCAGGGCAGAGGAGACTGTGGTGAGGACAGCTCTCTCTCTAGGCTTCGGGAAAGCTGCGCGGTGAAACCCCTCTCCCCGCCCTGTCAGGAAGCCTCTGTGGCTCTTCTGCCTTCGGCGAGGAAAGGCTGCTTCAGACCTTGTGGGAAACCTCTGGCTTTCGCCGCCAAACACCTGGCCAGCTGTTCTCAGCCTCAGTGCGCCTTTGGGTGGGCTGAAGAGGCTGGGCTGCAGACGGTGTGGGGGGGTGTTTCTTCATGCCCCCGAACAGTGCTGCTGAATTGCGGGGGGGGGGGAGGCACTCTGGCCGGCAAGGGAGGCACGCCCTGGGGTGCTCCACTTCCTTTGCGGGGCGAGGAGGGGACAAGGCTGGCCAGAGTGTCGCCCTCGTTGAGCCGGCGCCCTAGGCAACGGTCTAAAATTTGTCAATGACAGGCTGGCCCTGCTTAGGAGTTCAAAGCAGCATGCACAGCTTGCTCCTCCTCCCTCATTTATTGCTGCAAGATAGGCTGAGGCAGTGTGGTCGACACAAACTCACCCAATGAGCTTTGAATGAGGATATGAACCTGGATCTCTCAGTTCCAGCATTCTGACCACTACATATTGAGAAGTGACAGTTTAACCAGTTTTTGAATATCTCACATGTTATTTGCATGGATGGACAGAATACCTATTCCTGTATTAATATCCACAAAGGCAGGATTTGCATGTCATTGGATGCTGCACTATTGTAATCATTTATTTCCTGGATTTTCAAGTTGTTGTTGTTGTTGTTCAGCCGCACAGTCGAGTCCGACTCTTCGTGACCCCATGGACCAGCTCCCGCCAGGCCCTTTTCAAGTGCTGATTGCTAAATGATTGTACGATATCTAGCATATGTGGATCCAGTCAAAGTGTCTCCAACTTTATCCAGTCTGCAGGCACTTTTGAAATTCTGAGAAGGGACAGTGGGTGCCACCACATTCAAGACCCTTTGGATTTTATTCCAAGAGTCAGGAAATAAGGAGAAAATGCATTGGCAATACCATTACACTCACGTTTCTAAACCAAAATAATACCATTTATCATCATAAATAAATAAATAAATCACTTGTGAAAACGTTCTCAGTAAGGACAGCTGGCTTAACGGTAAAAGGACTAAGAACTATAAAACAAGCCACTTCATTTTGTAAGCACCAGTTGTCACCACATGCATCACATTCTTAAGAAAATGAGAAGGGGCCAGTTCAAACAATGACAAAACATATGACAGACTATGGAAAGTGTGGGACGGGCTTTACTTCCTTGCTCTAACATATTTGTCCCACTACACGCACTAACAGGCATCCACTTGGTAGTACAATAGCTCAACCTTCCCACAAGTAACACAAGTAAATTTCATACACTCGACTGATTCCCAGATTTAATCTAGAAAGTCAACAATATATGAAGCCTACGCCTACTGGATAAATTTGGACAAATCTGAATTCTATAAGACCACATGGAAGCAAGTGCAATAGCTGGAGAGTACACTTCTTTCTACTTGCTCAACACTGAATACAGGGCTAAATATCATCTTAACAGGCCTGTAGTAAAAATCACTTTGCCAAAGTTTTACCGTGTAAAAAGTGAATCTGGGCTATTAAGTCAAACATATTCAGGAAAGTCTTCCACTAATTTCTCTCCACTATAAGAAGGCAGAAAATCATCATACACATCAGACCAACAAACTGAAAGTTATTTATCAGAACTCTACATTATACAAAATTAGTGTAAGAATAAGAAATGGAGCAGCAATACAGGGTACTGACAGCTATACAAAATTTCTCTATGCTAACCAGCTTTTGTATGATGTATCAGGCATAGTCAAATTCTTCACATTCATCCCAGTAAAGCTGCTCAAGAGCTGGACATTCCTGGCCATGGTATCACCACTTCCCCCACAAAGCACCTTTAGTCACCTGGGCTGAACAATCATCTCTGTACAAAAGCAGAAGATGTACCAGAACCTCTGCAGCAATGCAAGAACTTCTGGGACATGCTGTTATTTAGTCTTGCTATGGTAGCTAGATGGGTCATCTTTTGATCTGTCCAGTGCTGAAGGGAAGGGTGTCCCACGGGACTTTGCTTTTGGAAAGGCTGAGTGACAGCTGGCCAACCAGCTTCAAAATGATGTGTCATGTGTAGCTTTTGGACGAAGTAAAGCCAGACAGGATAGTAGCAATGGGCAAGCATCACCTCTGACTGGCAAGAATCAGGATGGAACCAGCTGGTGGCCAGCTGTGACCTGTGGGCAGCCAGATGGCTATCCCCCTGACAGATAAACATTCCTGGGGCAGAAGTGCTTCTGTTTCAAGTCTGTTGTTAGCACAGATAAATCACAACAAATAGACAAAATAGTTTTTAAAAAGTCTGTAAAGTGCTGGCAATGCTAGACAGTATCAAACTATGCACAGAATTCATCACCACAAAACAAAATCATCACAATATCCCCAAGTACCTTCAGAAGGAGCCAGCCCGTCATCCACTTCACCAATTTTGCCGGCCAACTGATATGCCGATACAGGTCGGTATTCACTACTCCAGGATCTACAACATTAGCAGTCACATGGCTCCTTTCCACTGTCAGGAGATGATGCAGCCAATAGCTGAACAATACAAGGGCAAGTTTGCTTTGAGCGTAGGCTCCATGAGGTGAATACAAGCAACTGTATGGAAAGAGACAGAGGGAAAGAGACAGAGGGAGATTTAGATATAATGTTTAGTTCCATACACTGAACGGGAACACAGCAACAACACTTCTAGTGGGGCTCTAGAATGGGTTTAACACATTGGTTGCAAAAGTGATGATTCTGGTAGATTCACTGAATAGTTTGTGGAACGAATTTTGGGGAAATCTGGCTGCAAATGTAAACGCTACCACTGGTAAAGGACTTACTTGGATTGTGACAATATGAAGTTCAGAATACCCTACTCCTCATGCCTTAATATTCAATGTTGTGTGACTTTCAGAAGCCTCATTTAGACTTTTGTTAGATAAAGACAGTCCCTGTTCCCCATTTCTCAGAAGGCAGGACTGCAACAACTATCAGCTTTACTTTAAAAAGAAAATTTGATTTGTATAATATGGAGAAGGCAAACATAAGAAATGAGATGCGAACAGCTTTTTCACACCCTGCAGGGTAACTAGATTTAAGTGAAAGTTCCTGTGACTTTTTCTGCACACCTCGTAGAGATTTATGGAATTTCCACTCATGGTAGGATTTCGCTTGCCAGGAAGTGATTAGGCTTTTTGAATTAGGATTTCCAAACCTCATTTTCAAGAACACATCACAACCATTGGCTTGCAATTACTGCCTTGCATACCATCTAAAGAAATTTTACAATACACCAACGGTAAAGCTGAGGGTAGCTTAATGAACATTTTGGGGGACGCTGAAGCAGGTCTGCTCAGAAGTAAGCCCCTTGTAATTCAATGGGGGCTTACTATGAGGAAAATGTCCTTAGGCCTGCAGAATTTACTACACAAGGGGGGAAAGTGGTCACTCAGTATCATGCTTCTGCTTATTTTTCCACTTAAATTTAATATACATTTTTAGCATTCAGAATATACTTAATTATTGTTGTTACAACACTAGGCTATAAAAAAGACTGCTGAATGGATGCTCAATTACAGTGTCACTGTAATCACCAGCAGTTGTGTTTTTTTTTACTACTTCAATGAAGAATACCATAAATGCTCAAAAGATTTATAGCCGTACTGAAAACATACATAGAAATGACCACAGCTGGTAAATAGGGAGAAAAAAGTCAGGTCCACAGTCTCTCTTTGAATGTATGATTATTAATCCAAAGCATATAAAAATTTAGAAGCAAGCCATCCAGTCACTT